CTCCTTTTCAAATCCATTGGAAAAACCATACAGAAGAACAATCCAAAATTTTGCCAGATTCAAAATAAATTGGCAATCAAACAAACTAGAAGACCATAAAGAAAACAAATCAAAGAAATAGAAATAAGAAAAATTAAACAAGCCGATGTCGGAGCTATAGAAGCCTCCGGCCATCGGCTTGAAACTAAAAAATCTCTCTTTTTTTTCTCTCTTGACGGCTAGGTTTTTTCTCTCGCTGTGTGCCAACCATAAAACCATTTTATTTATATAAATATTTAAATTAAAATATATTTAATTTAATATTATTTAATTTGAACTAAATCTCATAACTCATTTTTTAATATTTTAGTTTTAATTTTTCACTAAACAACTGTTAAGAACTTAATGTTTTAATTTTGAATTTGCATTGATTTTTTTTTTAAATTGATTAGAAATTACTTATACTATTAAAAATTCCACATTGCAATTTTGCTATCAATCATTTGAATTTTTTTTTTGTTTTAAAATGGTACAAATAAGAGAAATTCTCTATGATAGATGCCCATATTAAAAATAATCATAAAACTATAAGAGTATAAACGTCATTTAATAGATATATTATGTACTGATTTTAATATAATTTAAATTTAATTGTATACTATATAAAATAAATAAAATTAATTGTTAAATTTATTTACCATAAAATAAAGTAAACAAAAAGATTGATTGTTTTTGATTTGTGTGTTCATCCCAATTTAACTATATGCATAATAATTAATATATTTCAATTATTTAATATATATATATACTCTTTTATTATTTTATAATATATATAAAAACAAATAATAATACATAAAAAATAATTTGTATACACAATGTTGATTCTCATACTTGATTTTGTTTTTTATTTATATTTTATCTCTAATTTTAACTTGTTTTAGTGGTATATATAGATCATGATGGATCGGATTTCAGATCAGATACTAAATTTGATGGGGTCGTTTTCTGGAGTGGGTTGGTAATTGTCAACTGAGTTATGCAATATTACTAAACTGTCTTAGACTAAATTGTCTTTAACCAATTTTTTTTTAAATTGAAATAAATGATAAAAATCTAATATAACGTTGAATGTATTTTGCTTTTTCAAAAAAAAAAAAAACGTTGAATGTAATTTGGAAGAATTTTCAGTTTGAGGACTATCTCAGCTGTGGAAAATGAACGAAAAAAGTCCGCAGAAAGTTGCCTCCAGCTGCGGCGACAACTCTCTCCCTTTTATCATCATCATCACGCCAAAGCCAAAGAGAAGAGTTGACTGACCAAATTCTGGTTCAATCTTTCATCTTCTTGGCTCATCCCCTGCCTCTCAGGTTCTTTTTTCTATAACATGTTGTTAGTGTTCTAATTTGTATCTTCACGTTTCTGTTACTCTTTGTAGTCAGGTGATTTGAAGTATTGAAGTTTTCTATATAAGTAGCAAGTAGCAACCAATGAGCAAGACAATGAACTGTGAAATCAAGACTCATTCACGGAGCACATCCACTGCTTCCTTTTCAACGACTATCATCACATCAGATGAGTCTGAGATTATGAACCCCAAGATATTATGTGCAGTAAGAGCAGGCGACAAAGAATCCCTTGTCAAAAGGATAAAAAATGATGCAAAGACCATACAACAACTCGTAGACAATCATGGAAACTCACTACTCCATATCGCTGCTGCCTCGGGTCATGGAAATATAGTCGATTATGTAGTCTCTAAATTTCCGAATCTTGTTGAAAAGGGAAATCTGATGAATGAAACTGCTCTTCACGTTGCAGCTAGAGCAGGCAGTCTCACTATCGTTGAGTTTCTTGTTAGATTCCTAACAGAGTCTTTGATAATTTCGGCTAAAAGCGACAACGGAGATACCGCTCTACACATTGCGTTGAAAGAAAAACATGAAGATGTTGCTTTCTACCTTTTAAGTGTGAGTCATGATGATGTATCATTTGATGTGAACAATGATGGAGTTTCGCCTTTATATTTGGCTGTAGAAGGTGGATATTGCGACCTCGTGGCAAATATGCTAGAATCTTTATCTTGCCCATCTAAACTAGCTTTGATGTATGATGCAAAATCTCTTGTACATGCAGCAATGAGGGCCAAGAGAATAGGTTCGTACCTATATTTAAAGGTTCTATACATGGCCGGATCTGAGATTTTGGAAGAGAAAACATTTCTTAGGAAAAATAAAATTCATAATTAATTTTAGGATTTATATCTCTATGTAAAAAAAATTGAGGCGAAGACGAATGTTTCATTAGGTTGTGCCCAGATCTCGCTCTGGCTCTATATTACTAACTTTGATATTCCCTTCTTGGTGATTGTTTTTGTTTTGCAGATATCCTTGGTATTATTCTTCGTCAAAATCCAAGACTTATAGAATTACATAATGAAGAAGGAAGAACATGTCTTTCATTTGGAGCAGCAATAGGATTTTATGAGGGAATTAGCTACATACTATCAGAGTTTGATAAAGCAGCTTCAAGTTTGTGTTATGTAGCAGATGATGATGGATTCTTTCCTATCCACATGGCAGCGAGAGAAGGGCATGTCAGAATCATAAAAGAGTTTCTTAAACATTGTCCTGACTCAGTAGAGCTACTCAACAGTCAATGTCAGAACATTCTTCATATTGCTGCCAAAACTGGCAAGTCAAAAGTTGTCAAGTATCTTCTAGAACTTGATGAAGAAAAAAGAATGATGAATGGACAAGATTTGGATGGAAACACTCCGTTACATCTAGCCACGAAACACAGGCACTCGATGGTTGTGAATATACTTACATGGAACAAGAATGTTAAGCTTGCAACAATGAACAATGATGGCTTTACAGCTCTAGATATTGCTGAGGCGTTAAAGGACAATGCCTACATACTTCGAAAGGTATGACAACCTTTGTAGTAGCATGTGTAAAACACAACCTTATCCTTATATGACTTTTTTTTTTTTTTACAGAGATTGACTTGGATGGCTTTGGTATCAGCTGGTGCTCCAAATGGTCCAAAACAGATTCCTTTGAACATGGTTTCAACTAGTCTCATAGAAAATCCGGAAATATATAAAGATAGTTTCCATACTCTTATGGTGACTGCAACACTTGTAGCAACTGTGACGTTCACCGCAGGTTTCACATTACCTGGTGGTTACATCAGCTCTGCTCCAGATATAGGCATGGCTGCATTGATAGATAAAATGAATTTCAAAATATTTATATTGTTTAACAGCATTTCAATGTGCAGCTCTGTGGTAACTATAATGGCACTTATATGGGCACAACTAGGTGATGCTGTTCTGACAAAGAAAGCTTTTAAACTAGCTTTGCCGCTTCTTGTAATCGCTTTTCAATCTATGGCAATGGCGTTTGTGGCTGGAGTTACTCTTGTCATAAGCGATCTCCCATGGCTTTCGCATCTGGTATTAGCCATAGATACAATCTTCTTTGTGTTGCTGATGCTGCTTATCATTCCTTACGCTTTCTCCTCTACCAGACAAGGCTTTCTCCGACACATCTTCTACTTTCCTTACTTCTTGATGCTTTTGGCTGTTGGTGATGAGAGGAGCAGCATCGATTGCTGAAAGAGTGCTCTGTTTTTAACAGTGTCCGTGTTATGGAAACTCTCACAAATAAAACAGGAGATGTAAAATGTGTTGGAGCTTTAGAGTTTGGTATAAAGAGCAGACAATTCCACTTGAAAGTTGTAACTCTAAGATTTTGTTTGGTGTATTGTATAGCGGTGTACGATATTTAGATGAGGGCACATGAGCTTATTTAGTTATTTTTATTATGTCTAGTTATAAGATTATGAGACATCTCTTATATATTATTTATGAATTGATTTTGACATATGTCATCACCATAATTAATTTCACCAGAAAGTAATGACATGTCAACTAATCATGACATGATTCAGTGTTAATTGTGACATATACATTTAATGTTAATATATATTTTTGGTAAGTTTTTAGAATATGTTAATAATTCATACATTACATTTAATGATGATTTATATTTTTGGTAAACTTGTTAAAATATGGTAATAACTTATAAATCAAATCATCACTAAAAATAAAGGGCAATTCTCTAAAATAGCCATATTTTATTTTTTTCACAAAATAAACCTCAAAAATTAAAATGACCAAAATATCACTTTTTATCTTGAAAATTTTAAGTTTTCTTAATATTTTTAAATTCGAAACCTATCCCAAAACCCCACTACTCAACTCTAAACAAAAAAATCTAGGATTAGTTAACCCAAGGAATATAAATGTATATTTAATAAAACATTTAAGTGTTATTTTGGTCATTTTAACTATTAAGGTCTATATTTGTGATAAAAAAAATTTAGGTCTATTCTAGTCATTTTCTCAAAAATAAATATATTGAAATATGCATTATAAATTTCAAAATGTTATTTAATTATAATTTTTTTATTACTAATATTTACAAAAAATTTTACTTCTTTTAAAAAAAAATATTAATATAATTTAATCATAATTAATATCCTTAGTTTCTTTTAGATATTACCAAATTTTATAAATATTGTTTAGTTATAATTTTTAATAACTGTACCATTTATATATAAATTCAAGTTGATTTAACACATTTAACGAAAATAAATAGATAAAAAAATTTCTAAGATTCCAATTTTAAATATTTACATATATATTATTAAATATAATTTACAATAAACAAATTTATTTTTCTTACTTTTGTGCTTAATTAAATCAAATTTCTATTAAATATTAGTTAAAATAATAAAATATTTAAATATTAATAAATTTTATTTTAAATATAATTTAACTTTAAAAAAAATTATCACTGCATATAGTGCAGGAAAACACCTGAGACATATGAGTTTCAAATATCAATTATTTAATGGGCTGCGAATTGAGTTTGATTCTCCTATGAATAGACCTAATATAAAGGGGCTTTTCACCTTAAACTTTTTTTCCTTTTATATATTTGTGTAAGTTTTTTCAACTGCAGTTTTAATTATGACAAACAGAAACACTTCATAAATTTTACACTCTTTTTGGTTATACCATTTTGGTTTTAGTTGATTGGGACTTTTATTGGCACTTTATAAATTTCAAAACTAAAATAACTGTCTTACCTAATAAAATTAAAAAATATATATATCGAATAGAAATAAGTTTTTTTTGATAAAAAAGTTATATTTGCCATATAACTAAAAAAATAAAGATAATTAAATTTTTAGTAAGGACCTAATATAAAGGGGCTTATTTGTCATATAACAAAAAAATAAAGATAATTAGATTTTTAGTAAGAAATTAGAGAGAGATAGGAAGGTAAATAAGGAAAAAGAGTATGTTTTTGGTTAGATAATAAATTTTGAGTTTTTGTATGTCTATAAGAACAAATTTCCCTAAAATTAATCCTAAAATTTGAATTCATTTCGTCACACGATAGTGCAATATTCCTCAAATCTCAAGCCATATTGGATGGTTTTACTACTCTGCAGCCACAAAGGTATGAATTTCTCTTACTCCTACTACACTGATGTATATTTCACTTTTCTACTGCATGGCTTCTCTTTTCTAGTCTAATATCCATCTATTCCAGCAGTTGTATAGAGTGAGTTGGACAACAACAATATATTCTTATAAAATAAATTAAATAATTACAGATATAATTTCGAGTCGTTCCTTGTTCAAGTTCTTAGTACATTGTTCATTTTTATTTAATATTATATTATTAAACTCAATTAAATAATTACAAAAAAAGTTATAATAAAAAATGAAAATTTTCATATATGTTATCTTTATAATTTGTAAAATGAATATAAATTATTAAAACTGTTAAAAACCCACACTAATTTTTTTTTTGTGATCAATGGTTTAATTTTTTATTATAAAAAACATACAAATGATCATAAAATTATATGAGTCTCTTTTAATACATATTTAATATATATATATATATATATATTATTTAGGTTAGATCAGTGCAGTTTTGTTGTACAATCAGGTAATATGTAGGGAAAATTACATAACTACCATTTTTGTGATACCACAATTCAACTTTACCACAACTCAAGGGACATTTTCATAAATACACAATTCATTAATGATCAAAAGACAATATTACCCTTGCTATATCTTCTCTTCAATTCATTCTTCTCTCGGCGAGATCCGTCCTCTCTCTTGTCTGTCTCACCCAATGGTGACGAAAGAGATTGCAGAGAACCCGAGATTTCTTTTCGTCTTCTTCAGACTCTCTCTCGCATCCTCTCGCTTAATGCTCAGATTGATATCTGAATCGACGTTTGCGTCCTTTTTGTTTCTAGGGTTAACGAGTTCGTCTTCTTCATTCGATTTTTGATGTTGCGGTGACGCAATGGTGTCATCAAACGATCCCATCGGGACGATATTCAAATTAATCCAAGTCGTTAAATCTGCTCTTCACCCCCATCGAGCTTGGCGTCAAAAAGGCTGCGAAGGACATCGAGAGTTGTTAGGTAAGCAAAGAAAGGGACTTTCGTTTGGTGTTGAGACCTTCAAGAAGAAACAAGAAGAAGCGGGTTTGTCCTAACTCGAAGGACGATGATAACAGTGTTCAGTCTTTGGCCAGTGACGAGATGAAGAAAGGTTTGTCTTTCAAAATCTCTGTGAAGTCACTCCTTGGCATGTTTTCACCGAATCTAGCGAACGAGAAGCTTAGCCATAGAAACGAGGTTGTGAAGAAGAAGAAGAATAAAGACAAGTTCTTGGAGAGAGAGAATGATGGTGATGGTTCGTGTACGAATTGCTTTAAGTTTGCTATGACTTGGTCTTTGTTGGTTAGTAGCTTTGTCCATTTGTTTCCTATTCCCTTTAAGAAGAGGGTTCACAGAGATGAGAATACTCTTTTGCATTCACGTAAACAGAACGTTAAGTCAAAGGATAAGTCTAAAGAAAAGGAAGGAAACAACCCCTTTTCGCATTCCATGGGTTTTGTTATTGAAATGTTGGCTCGGAATCTTCAGAAGCTTGACCAGTTTGTGCAGGACAGATCAAATAAGGAAACTGGTCCGCTTGTTTTTAACATATGGGATGCTAGGAAGCTTGATGTTAATGGGTTTCTTGGGAACTTGATGTTTGCTAGAGTTGGAGATGTGGCGTCTGGTATAGTTGGTCTGACTTCTCCTGTAAGTGAAGATGGTGATGGATAGAAGGTTTCCAGCTGTGCATGGTTCGGTTAGTTAAGGGAAAGGTTCTGTTACAAGTCTTTATACAAAGCAACAAAAAGGTTTAGTAAAGATGAGTTTCTAGGAAAAGGAGGTTTTGGTGAAGTCTATAGAGGAAACCTTCCTCAAGGGAGAAAGATAGCAGTGAAGAGAGTTTCCCACAATGGTGATGAAGGTGTGAAGTAGTTTGTGGCTGAGGTCGTGTCCATGAGATGTCTGAAACACAGGAATCTTGTTCCGCTTTTCGGTTACTGGAGGAGAAAGCGTGAGCTTCTTTTGGTCTCAGAGTACATGCCAAATGGTAGTCTTGACGAGCATTTATTTGATGATACGAAACCTGTTCTTTCTTGGCCAGAAAGACTTGCGGTTGTTATGGGAATAGCCTCTGCTCTCTGGTATTTACATACAGGTGCTGACCGAGTTGTTCTCTGCAATGCTGTCTCTATGTCTGTTGTCCTGCGTTCTTCTGATGGCAGGTAACTCAATAAATCATTGCTCTTCTTTCGATTTCTAATCTACAGAATACTCACAAGAGTTAAAGGATCCCCTATTATACACAGAAAGGTCTAATCAAGAGATTGATTATTGTAGACCAAATTCCATCGTCACCAGCTTTATAAGGATGTAGCTCGAGGCATTATCCACTATTTTCCTGATACAGCAGAGGACGAAGCCAAAGAGGAGCATTTTTAGCAATATAGGATTGAACTCTAAGGTCTTGAGTCACATTGTTTGCTATTGCTAAGCTTGGATTTAAGGCTTTATAAGTGATTTATAAACAATTATAAAATCATCTATAAGGATTTATAAAGTCATTTATAAGGGTTTATAAATTAACTCATAAAGGTTAAAGTAATTTATAAGGGTTTATATATTAACTATTAAGGGTTTATAAATTAATTTATAAGAGTTTACAAAAAACATATAAGGGTTTATAAATCAATTCATTAGAGTTTATAATTCATTTTGTAAGAGTTTATATAATCATTTTAAGAGTTGTAAGAGTTTATACAAAAATATAAGGTCGTACAAAACCATTCAGTTATTTAAAAAAAAAAATTTAAAAGCATCATGGATGTATATTTAATATTAAGAATTTAAAAATAATTAATAAGGATTTATAAATAAATTATAAGGGTTTATAAAACATTTTGCAAGAGTTAATATATTATATATAAAAGCGTATATATCATTTATAAAGGCTTATAAGAGTTCATGAACTGATTTATAAAATCTTATAAACTATTTTATAAGATTATATTTTGATTTACAAGAATGTATAAATTGATTTATAAGGGTTGATAAATTGATTTATAATACTTTATAAAACATATACCGGAGTCTATAACTTAACTATAAATATTTATAAACTAATATTTTATAAGGTTTTATAAACAGTTATAAATCAAACTTATAGACCATTATAAATAAAATATGTGGTTAATCAGAATGTTCTATATATTAGTTTAATAAGTAGTATTTCATAAATTAACAAATAAACCTTAATAAATTAGTTTTTAAACCCTTATAAATATGTTTAAAATTCTTATAATCAAATTACAAACCTTTATAAATTATTGTATGTCNCCATTATAAATAAAATATGTGGTTAATCAGAATGTTCTATATATTAGTTTAATAAGTAGTATTTCATAAATTAACAAATAAACCTTAATAAATTAGTTTTTAAACCCTTATAAATATGTTTAAAATTCTTATAATCAAATTACAAACCTTTATAAATTATTGTATGTCTTTATAAACACTATTTATAAAGGTTTATAAAACTATTTATAAAGGTTTATAAAACTATTTATAAGGGTTTATAAAACTATTTATAAGGGTTTATAAAACCATGTACAAGAACTTATAACCCATTCGAGCATGGTATATTGCTACATGTACAATCATAACCCATTCGAGCATGGTATCTTATAACATACCAGTACAAGAACTTATAACTTAAGTTACCATGCAAGGGTTTACTTGGTAATTAGGATACAAGAAGGTCTATGACTGTGTGCTTCTTTGACAACTGTATTGTATATTGTAAGAACATCGTCCAAGTATCAGATTTAGATATTCACGATGCGCTTTTGGATCAGTACGGTGGGTTTGGCATTTTTTTTTTTTTTCAAATTGTATAGTACTATAACAATTTGCCTTTTGTTTCTGAGAATTATGAGGTTAGATATGAATTTCACTTTATATTTTGAGTTACCAAAAGAAAAAAAAAGATATGAATTTCAATTTTTCATGTTCATCATGTATGCTTACCACATACTATTACTGTATGTCTATCGATGTTTTAGAAAACATCACTTTCATTACATCAGTCTGCTGTTAAAATTCAAAACCTAACAAAGTCTTTGGAGCACAAACCATAGAACACACATTACTCTTGAGATTAATTTCCAGATGGCCTTCCATTAGTACCTTGAGGATTGTTATTGTTACCTTCCTGAGATCCTCCAAACATCTGCATCATTGATCGCAATGCACCTGAAAACTCTTCAGGCATTTGCTCCGCGGCGCCAAGATCTATGTTGATGTTTCCGCCTACACGAATCTCATGCTCATTTGTACCATTTATGTTACCATCTCCTCCTCTGTTTCCCGTCATGTTCATGAACATGCTCATCATATCAGGGTTTAAAGGCATCGAGAACTGAGAAGGTATTCCTTGCCCTCCCATTCCTGGATCTTGATTATGTCCCATGTTTTTATTCTGCTCTTACAACACCACAAAACCGTTAGTTCCTTTGGTTTTCTACTACTCCATGTGATAAATTTTACCTGATTACGTCTCTGTCGTTGTTCTTCTTCTCTTAGTTTTTGTTCAGCCACCTGTGTTTTCCAAATACGTCAATATCACAGTCTCATCAAGTTACAGAATGATCATAATATTTTGGTCAATGGATAGCATGATGACACAAAGGTTATAAATGAGAAAACTATGCAATAAAATACACTGGGAAAATAGTTCAAACTTCAAAATCAACCAGTCTATATAATGATTCAGTAACATGGGAACTGAATGTTACTGGACATACTGAAGGGGACAAAGAAACTATCTTAACTCAGATTCAGTAGAAAAAAATGCTGATCGCAGGTTCTAGTTAGAAGTCTATAAACATTTATAAAGGTTTATAAATAAACAACTTCCCATGTTATCTAACATAGCAAGAGAATCTTTGGAAATAACTCAATATCAAAATAGCAACGAAAGGAGTAAAAGGAACACACACCAGGAACAAATTTGCACCAATAGCCAACACAATAGGTGCAGGACTACTACCTTCCTAAGTAAACCAATCAACAGCCGAGCAAGACTACTACCTAACTAGTTGCATTGAGTGTTGAAGAAAGTAACGGTTCTTGAGTTGAAACCAAATATACTTAAAAGAGCCATCGATCCAATATATACTAAAGTATAATGAATATAACACAAAAAAGGGAAACACAGTGATTAATGGAAAACAGTATATAAAGCTCCTGGGCTCTTGACATTCATCTAATAACAAAGACGACTTGCTCTCACTATAAACGCAGACAGGAGACAAGATAAAAGACCAAAGAAGACAAGACTCTAAGTAATGCCCGTATTCTTATTGGAATGAGAAACTAATAATCACACACTTAAAAATCACTGTGATTTAGAATTACAACGGAAGATACTATCATACTACAACCATTTATTTTTGTCAATAGAGAGAGGGATAAAGATATATACTCACGAGCTAAGTTCTCAGTGTCATCATCAAGCCTCTTTGTGTTCAAGGAAGTTCTACTCGAAGCCGCCTTGTTAGTTGCCGCATTGACTAAAACGCAACAAAAAACAAACAAATCAACTGTTAGATACCAAACAATAATTAACTAACAAACATCTAACTAACTGTTAAACTGCTACAAACATTAATTAAAAATCACAACAAACCAAAATCGCTGAGAACCGAGCAATTAACAGAACTTGCTCCTTCGACACTGGACCCCACGTGAGAACATCTCTGAAACAACGAAACAAAAATACAAATCAGCTCAAAGAGTAATATATATATATATACCCAAACAAATCAGAGTAAGAGTAAAACTCACAGGAGATAGAGGTAACCGAGAGAATGCTTGGAAGCGTCGAGCTGGTCAAGAGTACAGATTCGGAGATCCGACTGCTTCGGAGCCTCTCCTCTGCTCCTTTCAGAAGACGGTGGAGTGAAGATAAGTCGCCGGGACTGGCGGATAGACCTTGGATTGACTTTATCACACCCTCCATGAGGAGATGGAGATGATGGTGGTGGCTTTCTTCTCGAGAGCCACGGAGATGAGGAGATGGAGATGGTGGTGGCTTTCTTCACCATATAATTAATTAGGGATAGAATGGTATTTTACCTATTAAAATTAAAATGGTAAAGTTGGTTAAGGTATAAATGAAATATGGTATGAGGAAAGTGGTATTAGTCACAATTTCCCTAATATGTATTATTTTGAACTAGGTTTAAGTATTTTGCTAACATGAATTGATGAAAAAATGGTTTGGATTGGGTACAGATAGTGCCATTTTACCTATTGGATCTTGTTGTGGAGCTTCTGTGGATTTTGGACCCAATCTGATCTGAATCCGAGATCCGATGTACTTGATATATCCAAAATTTCTATGTATTAGTTATATATAGGTGTTTCAATATATTTTTTACATACACATTTTTTAAGTTTCGAGTTAATCGACTTGCACATTAGTATGTAAAAGATTTTCTTCTTTATGTACGTTCCTTTTCTCTCATAAATCATAAATGGTTTCTTTCTTTTTCATTTAATTGTAATTTCCTAATGCTTGTAGATACTTCCACAAGAAATATCATTACCTCTTTTTTCACCAAAATTCACAGAATATTGATTTATTCATTATTATCATTTGTTTGTAGCAGATATATTTCCGTAAACATTCTTTTAGTTTTTATTATCTTTCTAATTAATTTTTATCTAATCAACTAAATGTATATTTAATAATTTTAGCGTATATCATTATTTTGTTTTGTTGCATATATATTTTTAAAAATAAATACAGTACAGTAAATGTTGAGTGGAAGTACTCTCTATACCAAACTCTAACGCTCCAACACATCTCCTGTTTTATTTGAGAGAGTTTCCATAACACGGATACTGTTAAAACACAGAGCACCCTTTTAGCAATCGATGCTGTTGCTCTCATCACCAACAACCAAAAGCATCAAGAAGTAAGGAAAGTAGAAGATGTGTCGGAGAAAGCCTTGTCTAGCAGAGGAGAAAGCGTAAGGAATGATAAGCAGCATCAGGAACAAAAAGAAGCTTGTATCTATGGCAAATACCAGATGCGAAAGCCATGGGAGATCGCTTACGACAAGAGTAACTCCAGCCACAAATGCCATTGCCATAGATTGAAGAGCGATTACAAGCAGCGGTAAAGCTAGTTTAAAAGCTTTCTTTGTCAGAACAGCATCGCCTAGTTGTGCCCAGATAAGAGCCATTATAGTTACCATAGAGCAGCACATTGAAAGGCTGTTAAACAATATAAATATTTTGAAATTCATTTTATTTATCAATGCTGCCATGCCTAAATATGGAGCAGAGCTCATGTAACCACCAGGTAATGTGAAACCTGCAGTGAATGTCACAGTTGCGACAAGTGTTGCAGTCACCATAAGTGTATGGAAACTATCTTTGTATACTTCTGGATTTTCTAGACTATGTGAGACCCTGTCCAAAGGGATCGGTTTTGGACCATTTGGAGCACCAGCTGATACCAAAGCCATCCAAGTTAATCTCTGTAAAAAAAAAAAAAAAAAAACAAGTCATATAAGGATAAGGATGTGTTTTACACATGCAACTACAATTTTTTTTTTTTTTTTTTTTTCATGCAACTACAAAGGTTGACATACCTTTCGAAGTATGTTGGCATTGTCCTTTAACGCCTCAGCGATATCAAGAGCTGTAAAGCCGTCATTGTTCACTGTTGTGAGCTTAACATTCTTGTTCCATGTAAGTATATTCACAACCATCGAGTGCCTGTGTTTCGTGGCTAGATGTAATGGAGTGTTTCCATCCAAATCTTGTCCATTCATCATTCTTTTTTCTTCATCAAGTTCTAGAAGATACTTGACAACTTTGGACTTGCCAGTTTTGGCAGCAACATGAAGAATATTCTGACATTGACTGTTGAGTAGCTCTACTGAGTCAGGACAATGTTTAAGAAACTCTTTTATGATTCTGACATGCCCTTCTCTCGCTGCCATGTGGATAGGAAAGAATCCATCATCATCTGCTACATAACACAAACTTGAAGCTGATTTATCAAACTCTAATAGTATGTAGCTGATTCCCTCATAAAATCCTATTGCTGCTCCAAATGAAAGACATGTTCTTCCTTCTTCATTACGTAATTCTATAAGTCTTGGATTTTGACGAAGAATAATACCAAGAATATCTACAGAAAAAAGAAGCAATCACCAAGAAGGGAATATCATAGTTTAAGTAACATATAGAAATTTTAAATATAGGTACCAACCTATTCTCTTGGCCCTCATTGCTGCATGAACAAGAGATTTTGCATGAGACATCAAAGCTAATTTAGATGGGGAAGATAAAGATTCTAGCATTTTTGCCACGAGCTTGCAATTTCCAGCTTCTACAGCCAAATATAAGGGAGAAGCTCCATCATTGTTCACATCAAATGATACATCATCATGACTCACACTTAAAAGGTAGAAAGCAACATCTTCATGTTTTTCTTTCAACGCAATGTGTAGAGCGGTATCTCCGTTGTTGCTTTTAGCCGATATTATCAAAGACTCTGTTAGGAATCTAACAAGAAACTCAACAATAGCGAGACTGCCTGCTCTAGCTGCAACATGAAGAGCAGTTTCATCCTTCAGATTTTTCTTTTTAACAAGATTCGGAAATTTAGAGACTATATAATCAACTATATTTCCATGACCCGAGGCAGCAGCGATATGAAGTAGTGAGTTTCCATGATTGTCTACGAGTTGTTGAATGGTCTTTGCATCATCTTCTATCCTTTGGACAAGAGATTCTTTGTCTCCTGCTCTTACTGCACACAATATCTTGGGGCTCATAATTTCAGTCTCATCTTTCTCTATTGTAAGAATCGTTGAAAATAGGACCGGTCCTGGGTATAGGCCGCAAAAAAAATTTGAAGAAATTTACACCCAAATTTATAAAAGAAAAATTTATGGAAACCTTTACTAAATTACATATAACCCCCAAATTTTTTTGAAACCTTTACTAAATTACCTTTAACCTCTAAAATTTCAGATCCGGCCATAGTTGAAAGGGAAGTAGTGGATGTGCTCCCTGAATCAGTCTTGATATCACACTTCATTGTCTTGCTCATTGGTTGCTACTTAGACAGAAACGTTCAATACTTCTAAACAACTGATCAAAAAAAGAGTAACAGAAACTTGAAATACAAATTGGAACACTAACAACATGTAATAGCTAGACGGGAGAAAAAAAGAACATGGGAGTGTTGGAAATCCACGTGGATGGGCGAAGAAGAAGAAGAAGAAAATATTGCACTAGAATTTGGTCAGTCAACTCTTCTCTTTTTCCACAACTAGAAAAAGTGTTTTCGCCACAACTGGAGAAAGTGTTTTCGCCACAACTGGAGAAAGTGTTTTCGCCACCACTGGAGGCAACTTCTGCGCACTTTTTTCCTGTTCATTTTCCATAGCTGAGATAGTGCTCAAACTGAAAATTCTTCCGAAATACATTCCACTGAAACAGATTTTTATCATTTATTTTAATTTAAAAATTGTTAAGGACTTTGATCAAAAAAAAAATTGTTAAAGACAATTTAGTCCATAACAGTCCTCAAACTGAAAAAGTCGGTTACGTGTCCATAGAACTTAGAGGCTATGTTTTTTTTTTTTTTTTGTAGCTGTTCTATGTTGTCTTCTTTAATATCTATGCACACAATAGCAGAATAAGATCTACCACATGTCCATATTTTGCTATTTTTTTGTAACTGTTCTCGTTTTGGGTACACAGTTCATAAATATTATAGTTTCATATCAAAAAAAAAAATTCAAATTATAAATATGAATAGTTTAACTAATATTATACTAAAAACTTTAAAATTAAAAAAAACCTCAAAAACTATTTTAAACAATCAAGACCGTGGTATTAGAGTATCTTCAAATCTCAATCTGTAATTTAGGCTTCAATTGGTGACCGTGTAAAAGATGAAATGAATGAAAAAAAAAGTTGAACAAAATTTCATTTACTGAATTGAATTGAAAAAAAAAATTGAATAAAGAGGAAAAACGAAAAGAAAGAATTGGACAAATAGTAAACATGAATGGTAAAGAAAAAGATGAACATGCGTTTTCATATTTCAATAATTAGTATAATACACGCACAAAAACCATTAAGGTTTAAACTTCTAATACAAGTTAATTTCTTAACCTAAATATGTTAAAACTCCACGTATGAAAAATTGACTTTTGCTCACCACACATATGATCTAAAAGCAAGTAAAGCAATTTGATTATAGGAAACATGCATAACATAGATTGTTTTGATTAGGAAAACTCAAAAGAATAGTAAAGCACAATAAAGAACTAGCAACTATAGGCGCCGTGAACCACGTCTATTTGCACNTTAACCTAAATATGTTAAAACTCCACGTATGAAAAATTGACTTTTGCTCACCACACATATGATCTAAAAGCAAGTAAAGCAATTTGATTATAGGAAACATGCATAACATAGATTGTTTTGATTAGGAAAACTCAAAAGAATAGTAAAGCACAATAAAGAACTAGCAACTATAGGCGCCGTGAACCACGTCTATTTGCACGCCATAACTGGTCAGCTATCTGGTCTCGAACGATTTTCATATACACTCCTTGAGCGTCGTCTTCATCTATTTGTACCCCATCATCATCATAGGATTGATCAATGTTGGTTTGCACAAAGTTAGTACCCCTCTCAACTTCCTCAAAATCAAAATCTCTAATTTTATTCCAACGAATAAAATTATGCAATCCCATTGTAGCAAAAATTACTTGCCTTTGCGTAGGGATATCATATCTTGGAAACTCATTCAAAACCCTCCATTTTTTTTTCCATACACCAAACGTACGTTCAATCACCGAACGCAATGATGCATGCCATCTGTTAAACATTTCCTTACTGTTTCTTGGTGGTTCACCACCTATAAATTCTTGGAGATGATATCGCGTACCTTCTTTTCGATCCTTTCTATAAGGCGCTAAATATCCACGTCTATTAGCATAACCGGAATCTACAAGATAATATTTTCCCTCTGGAGGTTTTGGAAACATGGGATCATCTCGTATAGCTGTATTCAACACTCTTGAATCATGTGTAGACCCTGCCATCCCAACAAAACAATATGTGAAAAGCATATCTAGATCACACATGGCAAGAACATTAAGACTTGCTTTTCCTTTCCGGTTGATAAATCGTAATGCATCTCGACCTGGAGTCACCATAATTGGTACATGTGTTCCATCAAGTGCTCCAATACATCCACCAAATAGCTCATATCTTTTATCTCCTACTACACTGTTAGATATTTCTTCTAACTCACGAGTTGTTCTTGGCCGCAAGTAGTCAAGTGCCAGTTGTACCATTGCTCTCAGTACCAAGTGGAACTTTCTGTATATTGTCTCTTGAGCATGACCAAATCGGTAACCAATATCATGTTGTGTGTCGTTTTGAGCACAAAGAATCAAGAAGATCGCAACACTTTCATCGATGTTGATGTTTTTCGACCCTTGCAAACCATACTTCGTATGAAGAACCTCACATAACTTGGTAAATGCCTCTGAACTCATGCGGATAAGAGTGCGACATGAGATGTCATTGTTGTAGATTTGTGCTCGTATGATATTCCAACCATTCCCCCACTCTTGGTTCATTGGGTTTTTGCAAAAATATATTCCGTAGTAGTTCATCATAGGTTGCATGTAGCACCGGAGAAAGTATTCCTCTTCCAATAAAATTAGCTCTGCTAACTCCTCGTCTGTTAAATTTTCTATTCCACGTACACGTAGCTCTGCTATACGCACTTCCTGCAATATATTAAACACCATATATTAATAAGTGTAGAAAAAGTAAGCTAAAGTTTTTATCATGTTTTGTAAAACGTGTCAACATAAAATCCAAGACATTCAAATAACAATCATAGCTTCTCACGTACTCGCACCCACATGACATCATCCCATAAAGCAAGTATAAAAATAAAACTTAGATTTATAAGGTTTAATCTGAAACCACAAATTAATAATAAGTCTTTAAAGCTATAAAATCAAGTATATAAGACGAGGAAGAATGCCACCAAAACAAACTTGAACACCAAAAGATCAAAAAAGCTAAAAACCAACATAGAAATCTAATACTTTAATTTCTGCCTAATCATGGTTCTCCTAATTTAGAAGGGTCCATGCCAAGTAGAGTCGTAAAATTTGTCCCTCTAGCTGTAAATCTTGTTGGACTGTCATCAAAATTTTGGGAGTAACCAAAACCTATTTGTTGACTATTTTCCATAGTGTTGCTTGTGAGTGCCAAATCCACGTTGTTGCATTGATTTCCAAATCTGTCTACTCCAGTCAACGTCTCCAGATACTTAATCTTGATTTCTTCACTTTCAAACTTAATAAAAGCTTCACGAATATCACCATCATTCTTCAGTAACTTGTTTGCTGCCCACCAGAATGTTTCAAGTTGTTCAATCGGCAACTTTTCCAAGATAGCTGTTGCATCACCATATGATAGTTTTTGAATTTTGCGTGAGCGTAATTCTTCTAACAAATCTTTACGGCTATCTATCACACGTCGAAATCCACTCTCGACTTGCGCTTCAAAGTTAGCTTTTCTTCTTGGAGGACGGCTGCTACATGTTCTCCGTTTTGCTTGTTTGGGTACTTCATCATTAGATGCAGACAAGTTGCTCACATCTAAAACTGGTTGTGTAGCTTCTCGATTGCCTTCTTGTGTTTGAGATTGTGTCTCTTTCAGGTGTGCCGAATATGTAAAAGGAGAATAACGTTCATCTTGCTCAACATCATGTTCACCATATATTTGATCCAATAAATCTTTGAATGGCAACGGCTTCTTTTTCAAAACACTAACGAACTTTCCAGATTTTCCATACTCCTATATATTAAACAAAACATTAGTATAAATTTTGTTTTTGATATAAATATTTTTTTATATGATAAAGCAAAAAGTAATCACCACAATCCGATCTGTCCACCAAGACGAAGGCATCACTATCTGTCCACTAGACGGATCAACCGCAACACCAGTACGGTTCATCAACTGATTATTTGTTTGCCAAAGTTTACGCAAGTAAGCCATCTTGTTCTTTATCTCAGGATCCCAAAAGACGTTCTTGTCTCCAGTCAACTCAAGCAATTTGTTTTCAACTCTTTTTTTACCAGCAACATTAGGCATTCTACTAGAATAACCATTTGCTTTTAACTCCCCAATAATGAGTTCAAGCAGAATTTGACAATTCCTATCCTTCCAAACATACTAAAATACATGTTCTTAAGAATCAAAATTTTGTTTTCATC